ATGTCCTAAGCACCCAAGCCAGATTCTACAAGATGACTAACAGGCTCACGTAATTAATTGGTGTTGTGGGAATTTTAAATAATTCATTTGACCGGTGTTAAAGCGTTAACACAAAGATTCGCATTCCAGCTTTATGCAAAGGTAGGAAAGAGGAATCCCGTATAATCGCTGGAAGCATTTATTTATTAAGCTTAGTTTTCGAGCGTTGGCTGTACTCATGCCTTGCTCTTGCTGTCGTCGGTTCCAATCCCACCGAGGTTGCAGAGTTGTTCCTAATTGGGTCGAAGGACATTAAAATGTTTGACAGGGTCTATGACATGAGGTATGTATAGGCAGGTTTTCACATTTCCCTAAAAATCATTTTTTGCATCAAGAAACGACCTTCGTGAAGTTCAAAAAATCATGAAAAAGCAGCATGGTTTAAAAACACAATTCAGAAACACGAGGATGTCAGAAGGCAGACGTAGAGGTTAAAATAGCCCGTAAAAGCTCATAAGGTATAGTGCTTGAACGTTCTAATAATTTCTAATTTCGAAACCTAACCTTGGAGAACACCGATTTTCTTGCATAATGCTTATATTTCAGATTTTCCAGGACTATCCTGGATAAAAATTTTGAGCACTGAAATTAGTTAACATAGCCATATGGCCTAGGTATTTTAAAAGGACCACGGTACTTAAAGTGTATTCGACGCTTATGGCAATTTTGCGTATCTCCAAATGAAACAACGTAACATCTATGAAGAATATGATGAAGCAAATAGTATCATCAACATTCGAACGCATTCCTTTGTAATGAGTAACCTAGATTTCAAATGAACTCCCATCACAAACAAAAAACAATAAGAAGCGCAGTTTATTTCACTTTTATTAAAAGACAAACGCGTTTGAGCTCCCAAGTGGGAACGCAGTGGCTAAAAATGCATCGAAACAGCGAAAGTTCACAAAGGACCTCGTTTACATAATTGCAAGCGAAAAGGGAGCAGCCGTCGGTTATTCGAAAAGAGTCAACATACACGATCAGTCACTTATTACGAGTAGTATAAGCGCATACGTAATTATTACGTAGGGAATAGACCGTCGGCTTATTGGCGATGCCAAATGACACGAGCCAGTGAATGAACCAAAGCAAAAAGAGCAGATGCGTTATGCTTCAAGCAAACCGACTTAAAGGCGTCTATTTTTTAGACTAAGAATTATTAGCAAGAAGGCGACACAGGGCATAACTAAGGAGTTTACCTTGCTCAGAACTTCATAGGCGATGGTCAGATCGCCGGTTGGGGCTTCGCATTCATCGACTGCCGTATTGTCCCTAGCAAGCAATGGGAGAGTAAAGGGTAAGGTCAGAGTACGAGGGGCTAAGGCGAATACATTAGGCGTAAAACGTTAACAGGTTGGAATTTACTTTGCGAGTTTATACTGCTCCTGATCGTAATTTAGCAAAATGTCTACCTTTAAAATTTCGAAAATCGAACGTATGAGGATGGATAGAAAGGCAGACAAAAATTGAAAGGTTCCAGACCAATTATCAGCTGACGTACGAGAAAAGTTGGAGGCAACAAGGTGGAAGAGGGACACAGGCCAGCGTTGCCATCGCCATCAGAAGGCCTTCAACCCCGGACGTTGCTATGAAAGC